TCCCAGAGCTCGCACGAGGTGCACAGATCGATCTTGAAATGGGAGAAGAAGGGCGTGGCAACGATCTTGGAGAGGAGCGGGCGCACCGTCTCGGTGTTGACCTGCTCGATTTCGCAAAAAGAACAGCAGCATTCTGGTATGTTGCGTCCCTGGAATCCCATCCCGATAGAGAGTGTTGGCGGAACAGGAGTGGAGGAGGATGGAGTGAATGTTTCACTATTTTGTGTTGTAGCTGTTGTGGGTTCAGGAAGCGGCGATGTTTTCGTTGCATCGTTCGAAGAAATAATGTCGCCGGCTGAGGTGGTATTTTGGAACGACAGAGTTAAGGATGTATGGCAGGGTAACGTCCAGAATACAGCTGCAAGAGCCATCGCTACTGCCGCGGCAATGAGTATTCGAGGCCATCTTGTCTTTGTTGTTGGTGATGACTGCGTTTTGGACATGGTCCGCTGCGTTTTTTTGGTTTTGTTTTCTTTGCTCGGTGTGTCGTCTGTGGCGTGTCGTTTTGTCTTCTYATGTGCTTGGAGACTGCTTTTGTGGGAACCATGACTACGAAGAAATAACCTTACCTACTCAAACGCGGAGCTAATTTTGAAAATTGATCTGGGCTGGGAGTGAGTCGTGCGTCGAAAAGATGAAGACACGTGTTAATTTCGGTTTTCACCCCTGGTCATAAAACATACAGTAGTAACAGGAGGTACGAGTAAAGTACCGTACCGTACTTCTATACTTCTATTCATATTGCTAGTGCGAGATCTGTTCCACAGCTATGAAGTACAGGTAAAACCTTTACTTACTTCCTACATCATCATGAAGACCAACAGAATATGGTACATACTCCACTAGAAGGATTAGAACTAGCACATTTATGACACATCGCAAAATAAATAATAGAAGCGCTAGTATAATGTACTGTACGAGACAAGGGGAGATTCGTTGTCATGGTCCTTCCTTCTACTGCTACTAGTAGCAGAGGTCGGTCTTGTGMCCCCTGACTAGTAGCACCAATGCCTTTAGAACCAACAAAAGAGGAAYCCTCGTCCACGCACAGATGCCGAAGAACAAATAGAACGGCGACACAGCATTAAAAAAATTGCAAAGGAAGTGTGCGTTGTTGCGGCTGTCCTTGCCATCGATGGGTTTGTTTCGCGGCCGCCGTGGAGACGACATCTCTACGGTTTTGAACCGGGGCCAACCAACCCCCCGAAGGGATCCCATCGAGCGATCAAGCTTGCCGCGGKTGCGGTTGCGGGACGGTGGTTCGGGCATTCCCCTGCCGCAACCTCCGGAAAGTGTTCGGACGCGAGGTCGTGTGGAAACAAGAGTCCCGCGAGAAAGGGCTTCGAGACGTTGCTCTGTGCACGGCACGTGACAGCTCGAATCCGTTCCAGCCCCCACCAACTCCGAAACAGAACTACGARGTGGGGCGCCGTAGGAGAAATAAAACGCCTTCGGTTCGTATCGCATCGGTGTTCGAATCCATTTTGTTTCGCTAGAACCATAGGCTTCGCGTGCCCTTCTCAGAACTGAGTTATTCGCGGTCAATGTCCGACTTCCAGGCTTCTTCCCCCCAGGATGCTCCCCCCTCGCCCGGATTCCACGGTGCGTCTCCATTGTCGCCRTCGTCTCCCCAGGATGCTTCATACCCATCGGAATCCCATGATCTCCCATGCTCGGAATTCCACGATTCGTCCATGTCGTCGACGTCACCGCACGATTCTTCCCCCTCACCATCGTTCCAAGACTCGTCTTCCCCGTCGTCTTGATCCTCGTCGCAGTCGTAGTCGTAGTCGTAATCATAGTCTTCCTCATCTTCGTCATCGTCGATAATTTCAACGTCGATAAAGCTTCTGTCGATGCTATTCTGGTTGCTAGCGCCACTGCCGCTGCGGTTGATATCGCTGTCGGTGGCTCCGTTTGCGACTCCGCTGTTCATCCCGCTTCGGCCTCGAGAGGATTGGATCGGAACCCTGTCCGATCGACCATCGTTCGACCGGAGACGAATCTCGGAGAGCTCGTCATTCTCGTCCACCGTGAGTGTCGCCGTGATCCAGGGAGAATGGCACCCATCGAGCCTAGCCTCGAGCGTTCGGACCATCATTCTCTGGTTTGCATTGTTTGCGTAGAACGAGTCCACTCCAAAACTGGCAGTGGTCGCAAAGGACGAGGATTGGGAAATGATGGGCCCGACTGCAATGTGTTCGTTCACGCCGAGATCGAGATGCTTTCGCAAAACAATCGCGGCTTGATCCAGCACGCTTTGAAACTCGCTGTTGGCATCGGTCTCAGAGGCCGCGGTTTGGTTCTTCCCACCGGATTGGTCGGCGTTGGTGACCGGAGAACTTGTGCTTTGTTCCACCTGCTCTCGCCGCCGCTGCTGCTCGTGTTGCTGCTGCCRCCGTCTCTGCTGCAAGGCGTCGTAAACGGGATCGAACATTTCGGGACGAGAGGAGGAGCGGGAATACATACCCGGRTTTTCGGTCAGTGGGCGGCGTTGGTAAGGGCGACTCCGGGGACGGTGCGTCGACGACGCCGTTGTCGTCGAGAAGTAGACAAAGGGTTCGCCGCTCGGTTGCCGCGAGGTTCGTCTCCTGGTGGTAGTCGTCGACGAAAAGGAAGAGTAGGCTCTCCGGGTGGTGGTCGTCGACGAAAAGGAAGAATACGCACGCGAAAAAGGACTCTGCGTAGACGGCGCKGTCCGGCCGGGCCGGGAGCTTCCGGGATGGTACCGGTTCCGACCTCGGCTGCCACCGCGGTCGCCCCGGCTCGGAGTGGGAATCGTTCCCTGGGGCATCGGCGGTTGCCACTGCTGCCCGGGTCGGCGGAGGTCTTCCATACCGAATTCCATRRCGCTTCGTCTCCTCGGCCCCGCTTGCCGCCKCCTCTGCCTTTGCATCGGGGGTCTCCCTCTCCRAASCCTGCCGCCCGTTCCCTCCCGGTCGGTAAAAAACCTCGGCTGGTTCGTGGCGACGGTTCGGCGATGGCGATGGTTCGTACTTGCGTTCGGGCGGGGCTGGGACGAATCGATGCGGTTCGAAAATCCGTAATCGTAGGCATTCAGACTGTTGCGTTTGCTGCCAATGTGTCCGGGGCGTCTCTTTCTTATGGGGTTATACTGCGGATCTTGGTTATGGTTATGGTTATTGTTATGGTTATTGTTGCTGCTGTTCTTTCGATTGCTGTCCTTCTTCGCGTCGTCGTCGATGTTCTTTTCGAAAAAACTCAGGAACAMGCGCGAGGACGGCTCCGTCCTCGACACCGGCAACACCGGCCAGGCCTCGGCGAAGAACGAGCAGCAATGGGTTCCTGTCCACAGGAAAAACAACGACAACAACGCCGCGGTCCGAGTACTGCTAGAATTCGCCATCCTTCGGTGGTTTGTTGGGTTTGCGTTGTGGTCGAGTCCCATGTACCGGTACGAGTACGCGCTTCATGTGGTGTCTGTGAAAGGGTTTTTGCTTTCGAGTTTTTGAACCGCTGCGACCTCGTTCGATTTCGATCACCCGCGTTTTTGATGTTTCAATTCGAAGACCCGTGGCATCGTGCCTGATTGACGGTTCCTACTATACCCGTTACTGCAAGATACCGTCATCTGCCCCAGAACTACCGGGGGTGTCGTCATCGACTAAAAATAAACCTATTCTATTGGTCAATACAGATTACCGGTACGAGTACTCCTAGCTATTGAATTACTGTACAGTAAGTACGTACTTTGTACGCTGTCTAGCACTATTGCCGTAGCACTTACAGTACGTACCTCGTTGCAGTGGTACAAAAGTTGTACCATACATACGAGTACGCTCTAAACGTACGGGCAGTCCAAACACGCCGGCCGAGACAGAACMGAAATGCTCAACGCTTCAAACTGTTCATATTTTGAATATTGACATGCCATCCGTGATTCACAGTCCCGCAGCTGCAAGGAATCCCGTCCCTCCTCCGTCGTTCACAAAGAAAGAAATTCTTCTTCTTCTTGTTTCAGATCCATCCTATTCTACGGACTCATACTTTTCACCGACAAATTATGGGTTCATTGGTTGGAATGAACACAAGCTGGGAGTAGGTGGGGAAGCTGGCCGACCAGATGATGGTTTCTTCATTCATTAGCACGTTTCTCAAGCAATTGCTGAAAGTCTATTCTATTGGTTCTGTTCTGTTCTGTTCTGTTCTGTTCTGTTCCTGATAATGTATTATCATGGTGGGTCCCTTTTATGCATATAAATGCATTTATGAACCACGATGAAGACAGTTCATGGCTGTGATGAGTTTCTGGCGTACGGTCAATATTTTTTCCATCATTGGTGATGCTTATGGTCCCTTCGCGAACCATCCGGGATCTGTACGGGACCAAACACCACCGTGCGAGTTCGAATGGTTTCATKACAGGTAGAGAATACTGTACACCACGCCGTGCCCAACTGCCACAACGGGACCATCGAGATCCACCGAATCGAAAGCAGCAAAGCCTGAAGCCAATTCCACGCCACCTATCGGTGGAGAGCGTAGCCAGTTGTGTTAATTTTAGTAGCGCAAACTACGTTCCGAAAAGCAGTCCAAAGAGGTTAGAAGCCGCGTTCGCGTTCGCGTTCGCCGATCATAGCCGGAAACGATGATCGGTTTTGGACACGCAGGATTCCACGCTATCCCTTGATTCTTTCCGSCATCTGCGGCTTGGTCTCCCAATAATTTTCGTAGAATTAGAGTCGTTTGTGCTTCTCGCTCTCTTCGTACGGTGGAACAGCGTCGGACGTCGTTCTCCGTCGTCCCGTCACTTCAGATGCCAGCRCATTCTTCGAAAGCGATCCGAACTTGTTGCGCCCATGCCGTGGGGACATCCACACAACCTCGCAGTTCGTCCTCGGTGGGGAGAAGACGGAAGAGATCGTGGTGGGGACCGYGGGTGGGAGCCTCGGCACGGTTCGTGCAAGGGAGCGCGAACACCAGCTTGTGCCGGTCCGACACCCCGGCCTCCGGGGGAGGCGACACCGCGATCACACAATAGTGCGAGCCGCTCCCGGGACACGCGAGGSCCGCGCGCATAGTGTCCACCAACCGGGTGGTTTCGGCGTCGGTTCCGATCGCGTTCACGCCCACTACGGGACCACCGCCGTGGCTCGGCGACAGCGTGGCAACACCGAGGGCGGGAAGGACCGCTTCGGACCAAAACTTGGGCGTGCGCATCGATTCGGGGGGAGCCGACCCGTCTTCGGCATCGATGACYAAGACATCGATGAGAGGTCTGGGATCTTCTTCCTTCGTGCTTCCGACCAGCGATTYCAGATAGGATTGCCCGGTGTCACAAACGAGGTCAAACGGGGGTGATGGAGGTCCTGCCAACGATCCTTTGAACGACGAGGCCTCGCACCCACCCCCTTGCTCGTCTCCGGCTCCAAAATACAGCTCGGAAACACGAACAATTTCCGGGCAGGCCTCAACGGCCGTCAGCAGGGGCCGTTGCCCCGCGTTCGGCGGCGAAGGCGACCTCGAACGCAGATCGGCGGCCATTGTRTGGGCCAGGGAGCACCCGCCCGCACCGATCAGGACGCAGTTGGGAGAATCGTTCCAACCATCSACTGCCTCCTCTCCCAGTCGATCCGCCTCTTTCCAGTACGTGTCTTCGAAAGCGGTGCCAGAATTGGCCCTGCGCCAAAAGGGTAAGACCATGGCCAAACCCCCSAGATGTGTTTGAGAAATGGGGGATGGCGGGCGGGGAACCAAGTTCTGGGCATTGGTAGCAGCAGCAGAGGTGCCATCGAAAATTCCAGCAATCTCATTGGTCGCGCTTGGGTCGTAGTAATGACGATAGGGAGCGCCGACAAAAGGAACCTCGACGGCGGTTTGAATGAGATTTGGACGCTCGTTGATTACGAGGTATCGAAARACTCTTTGCTTGTCTAAACATTTCGTGGATGCATTTGTACCATTGGCATTATCTTGAAGACGGTCAAATGGCATAGACGAAGACGAGCTTTCGACTGCATCGATCACTGATACTGTTTTCGTTCCGTACACAAAGCGCCTTGATTGGGTCTCCCACAATTCGTCTTCAAAGTCGTTAAGCAAGGCTTCGGGAACCGACTGAATCGCCTTCCAAGCGGTTTCAAACGAAGAGAATTCTGGGTCTTCTTCTCCGGTCCCTGGATGTGGTTTGTAAGAGTGCAAGCCCGCAATGTATCCGCACGCTCTATGGTGATAGGAGCAACCATGACCATCGTGACGAAAGGATGGAATGCCTGTTGCTGCTTGTATATGTCGTAAAGTTGTTTGTCTTTTATTGGAATCGATCAAGACAGAGAACTGTGATTTTGTAACAGCTCGCACATTCCATTTTCCGCGATCTGCAACCGAGCACAACTCCAATACTCGCAATCGGAACCCGAGTGATTGTATGCGTAGGACCATTGAACGATGCATTGAGCAAATTCGATGCATCAAGCGATCAAAACCAAGTTGAGAAAGAAAAGGAAGGAAGAATGTAACCGAAATCTTAGATTTCTTTCAGGCAGATGTCGTACGGATTTTGTTGCTATTGGGCGATTCCCATTTGATAGACTGACAGACCGAAAATTTAGAGAAAATGACTCTAGACTTAGCATGTTTAGAACAAGTCAAATRGACCAGTCCTAAATTGTCCTAAATACTCTACATTTAGAGTGGAATCCACAAAAAAATTCCTAGTCTGTTGAAGGACTCTCAAAAGACTCAACAGAAAGGCCCGCCAAAATGACGAAGACTTTGTTGTTCCTCTAAACAACAAAGAGACGCCTTCTTCTCCTTTTCTCTCTAGACCATGGCGCCTCCTCTATCTGTTAACAATGGCACTAAGGCGCCTCTGTTGACCATCAAGCCATAGAAATAATGTCCCAACAATTGGTCTATTTCCTATCTTTGTTGCATCAAAGAGAGCAAGAGGAGGAGGCYGGCTACCGCAACAAAGAGACAGCTMATTTTCCAGTCCCTCGTATTAYTTTTCTGAAGATGGATCAAAACRGCAAYGCCAGCCCCAATCAAAATGGCAACACCAACAATGGTCACAGAGCTGGTACTGTYAACTACTCTGAAGAAGAGCTAGAGAGCCTTATGGAGTTGATACTGGAGG